TTGGCATACCCCCAAACTGCCCAATAGAATTCAACATGTTGAACATGACTGGTTTTAGCTCGAAATGTGCAGCTTGAATTTCAGGTGCCACAATCCCAGGATTCAGATCATCCAGCATCGGATTTAAGTGATCGCGAATAACGCGTGGCCAACAGCAGGATCAGCATTGTCTAATGCCACGATCCTGACCAATGCCTGGTTTCCAATCGATACAATTTCTTTGAGAACGTCTTCTTCTTCTAAAGAGTCTTTCAATCTCAGGTTTTATTGGTTCCAAAGGCTCTTCAAAATTTCTTCTAGCATACACTAGGATAAAACCTGAAAATAAAAAAAATATCAAGTAACTATACACAAATAAAAATGCAAAACAAAATAAAATGCTCTGGCAAAACTAATAACTTCAGGCGCCAATCCCGGCAACGGCGCCAAACTTGTTCGCTTGTGTGAGTACTAAATTATACGCAAATAATGTGCAAGTATACACAATCGCTCAAGTAATATATATGAGTGAGTATCGTCTCCACAGGATTGGGTGAAATTACAAAGTCTAACCAAAGCAATGCATTTCTATCTAAGTATAGTTAGTCTTGATTATATAAATGTCACGGCAATGTAAATGTGTATGCTGGATATTTAGTGATGGTATGATGGTGTAGCAAATGAAAATGCAATGGCAATGATGGATGTTTGATGTTGAGTATGGTGAAATGTCAAGGCAATGAAAAATGGTAAAAATAGTAGATAAAGATAAAATGAAAGAAAATAATCCTCACGTGACAAGCTTCCAAGAATGAATGGTAGGGATTGATCTACGGATGCTAAACTTATTTCTCAAGTATATTTAAGCTAACTAGTCTTTACTTACTCGACAGGGCTTTCCTAAAGTGTTCTAAAGAACCTAACAGAATAGGATGCCAAGGCATCTGCTCTCACTCAACGATGTTGGTCAGCCTACCCTATTGATAAGACACCCTTTTAATCGTTGAAATCCTCCTAGCCTCTTCCGAGATCTAAGGGATTAAGTTATAATATTCCTAGGCCGGTTCAAAGCCCCTTGAAAATACTATAACCCATTACTTATAAGGAACTTATCTTGCGTTTCTTCCGAATACTTACAAGTATTTTTAGTCTAGGATTCTTCCGAATACCTAACCTTCATCTAAGAAATGGACATTTCCATGCCTCTTACAAGCCTAGATGGTGAAGCATTCATAAGCAAAGCAATAAAGAACAAAATAAACTTAAATATACCATTAAAAATAAAATTCAAACAACCATTAAATCAACCACACCAAATAAGTTAGTTCATGGTGGGGTTCAAATATCCAAACACAAGTCATGAAAATATTTGTTCCAACAACCCACAAATAAATATAAAATAGCAACAAAAAGGGAAGTTGAGAAGAAGCCTTCGACGCGCAACCGGAGGTCTCCTCTCGGCCACTGTGAACCACCTAGCTTGCTAGCTCCTTTCGGCTCCTAGCTAGCCACTCCTTGGAGCTTTATCAATGGAGGAATATCCCAAGGAAGAAGAAAGGAAAAGAGAAAATAAAAAATGTGATTTTTTGCTACCGTATGTGTCCTCCTCCCTTTTTTCTTCTTTTTTTCTCCCCCATGAGGTGTCATTTATAATAAAAAAATATCTAGGGGTAATGATGAGGTTGTTGGGTGAAAAATACCCCTCATACCCCTAGAATCACATGTTGGGTGTGAACCTTATCCTCCAAGTGGAAGTGGTCCTTTGGCAGCTCTGGCAGGCAGTTACAGCAGTCCTTCACGTGTAGAGACAGATGTCTAGTGCCAGCTTTCCTTATGCAGAAATATTTTTTTTGTCTTTTTCTGCGCCGGAAATGCCAAGGCATTTCAATCTACTTTGGCAACGTGTGATGTCGCGACATTACTTCCCAAAGAATCCTTTTTTCTTGCTATTCCCTGCACACCACAAACAAACTGCACCTTTCCCTTAAACAGCACCATTAAGAAATAAAATAGCACAACCACCACAAATGCACTATATGCAACTACATGATCCTAAAATGCCTAAGATGAGCTTTTAAACAAACAATAACTTAAGTGAAAAAGGACTTAAAAGTGGCCTTTTTAGGAAGTTAACACACCCTCAAACTTAAGCTATTGCTTATCCTCAAGCAATGGATAGCAGTTACATAAGCAGAATGTCATGGCAATTTTCTACAGTAGGGGCGTATGCCAAAATTGAATTTCAACCCTCAGAAAAAAAATAAGCTTCAACATTCTAGACTTATCAAGAATTCAAGTACTTTTCCCTAGGTCAAGATCCCTTGTGGTAGTGTGTGTGGGTGATTGTATCCAATCTATACTTAGCAAACTTAGACTATTTCTAATCAAGCCCCCTAGTTTTTTCCAAGGCATTTACTTATTCATCAAGCACATTTTTACTCCCTTTTCTTTGATTTTTTTAATGCTGTTACGAAGGGAGTCAGCTCATCACACCTACTCTCCCACACTCTAGATGAAAGGGAGCATACCTTCCACCCCCGAGCTAGTTAAGTAGAGTCATCCCGTGACTACTTTCATTCACTCATATGCACAAGGCTACCATTTATTAAATAAAGTTCCAGGCAATGCCACGACAAAGAGGAGTGTTCCTCTACAGCTATGCCTAAGCATTTATTCACAGTTTCATTTTTAAGAGAGTTTATTTTTTATTTTTCTTTTAAGCACAAATTATATTTCAATGCCAAAACTAACTAGTGTTCTTTCATAAAAATTTTCTAAATTTTCTAAGTATAGATAACATACAAATCGTGTAAAAGTTTTTCACAAAGAATCAAGCCCTAAAGTGAGTTCTATCATTCTCAACAGTCATTTACATTCAGATTCTAGCCTAATTGTATCATCATCGGGTATCCTCAAAACATTTCATCTAACTGTTCTACCATTTTCTGATGCCATGGCATAAACCTATGCTAATGCTATCATGCATATGACCTACCAAGAACCATACCTCCCCTAAACTTAAGGGAAGCATTGTCCTCAATGCTAAAAGAGAACTATACTAAATATAAACTATATGTCATGCAATGAAATGCAACCAAATGAGAATGGATGTAAGAGAGGTACCTCAATGAGTGCGTGGTGTTGCCTTGGAGGTGCTAGCAGCTCCTCGTCGGGTGCGCTTGCGTATAGGTGCTGGGTTGGACTCGGACGAAGTGGAGTAATAATGCACAATATTGGAGCGTCCAGCCGTGGTTTTGTTGCATTTGCCACGACGTGGTGCATGAGAAGGTTTGGGTGCTGGGATAGGGTTGGGTGTTTCTTCGACAGGGACAGGGACCGGATAATCAGGAGTTTCGGAATGGTGCGAAGTAGGACTCGGATCATCAGCGGGAGGATTGGCTGCATCTTGTTCAGGCTCTGGAGATGCCTCGACATCAAATGCCGGCAGAATTTCGTCTGGGAAGCCAGGGAAATTCCGTTGACCGTGGGGAATAATTTATTGAAACATTGATTCCACCTCAGCATCTCTATGCTTCACGTATCCAAAGAAGTTACGGATGTCACCGTGTAAAGCATGCAAGTGTGTCTGAGTCTGCATCACAGCTTCCTCGAGAGCAAGTAACCTTGCCTCGGCATTTGATTGTGTAGTACATGCAGATTGCTCATGAACAAATTATTTAGATTTAGGATTTTCAAGTCCTAATAGCAGTGGGAGTCTGGCTCTAGTGATGGCCGATAAACTAGGTAAAATTTCATCAAAAGCATTTTCCTCAACTTTTTTCTTACGACATAAAACGATAATTAAGTTAGGAAACACCAAAGCACTTGCCTTTTTACCTAAACAGTCGTTAACTTGCTAAACAATAATACGACCAACATCGATTGGACGGGATTCCATTATAGAATGTAAAAGCAATAAGCGTGAAAGTGATACCGTCGTGTTGTGAGAAGTCGGCATGAGTTTATGCTTAAGGAAGTGATTTCATAACTTGGCGCGCGACTGAAGACGTTCTCGGTTGACCGAGTATCGACTCATTTGACGCCCATTCCACTCAGTGTTTTCAAAACAAAGGTTCTCTAAGACCCATCGTATGTGTTGCTATCAGCCTCCTCTTCGAACTTGGCATGGTTATCCACAACATCCTGCAAATGAAAATAATGATTAATAGCAGAAGGTGTAAAACGGATCTGCTTACCGCGAACGAAGATGGAGTGTTGGTTGGGCTTGGAAATATTCGCGTAGAACTCCTTAAACACCGAGGCATTCACCGAACCAGGATGACGGGTAAATTTCTTCCACTTGAGCGGTGTTACGATGTCCATAACATCGGGTCCAAAACCACCATCAGTTTCCTCAATAAAAATAAATCCTAACTTAAAAAAGAGTTTCTGGTTCTTGAAGTTTTGGAATCGAGCCTTAGCCTCGTCATCTTCGAACTGTTGCCAAGCGGTAGTGTCGTTTGGAGTCGGTCATGAACGCACAATTTTCGTGTGTATATGAAGCAAGAAAAATGATAAAGGAAGAAACTTTTGAAAGCTTTAAAAACTTGGATGTATTTTGGCTATGGAGAGAATAACAAAAGAAGAAGATGAATGAAGGAAAGAGAAAAAGTAAAAGTTAAAATGAAAGAGAAAAAATTAATAAAGAAATAGAAAAGAAAAAGTTAAAAATTTAAGAGGGAAAATGTGTGATATGATGGTTAAGAGAGGAGTGAGTGGGTGGGGGTTTGTGCGTGCATGGAGAAGGAAAAAAACTGCCAAAAGGTAATGATGGTGATATGACAAATAAATATAAAATAGCAACAAAAAGGGAAGTTGAGAAGAAGCCTTCGACGCGTCACCGGAGGTCTCCTCTCGGCCACCGTGAACCACCTAGCTCGCTAGCTCCTTTCGGCTCCTAGCTTGCCACTCCTTTCGTCATGTTCAGGTCTCTCCCCTTTATATGTATATATATATATATATATATATATATATATATATATATATATATATATATGAATCATTATCAATCAAAGTAAAAAATGGCGAAAATGGAAGTGAGAATCCTCGCAGTGTCGACAATGATTTTGGCAATGTTATTCCCGGTGGTTAATGGACAAACGACGACAGTGGAAGCGGAAAAACCGATCGGCGATGCAACCGATAACAAAGAGGTGGAAGAATTAGGGAGGTTTCCGGTGGAAGAGAACAACAAGAAGGTTAATCAGTTGGAGTTTGAGAATGTGGTTCAAGCCGCCAAACAGGACACCAAATACTTTCTCAAGATCGAAGCTTCGGACAAGGGGGAGAATAAGACATTTTCTGCTGTGGTTCTGGTGCAATCTGGAAAGAATGAGTTGGTTAGCTTCACCTAATGAATAACTTCATCATTCCAATTTTATTATATCTAAGGATCCATATATGTAATTTCATTTCTTTATTAGTTGCATTGCAAATTTACAATCACAATAAGATCATCATTGCAAGTTTAATATTTTTGGTGAAAATTACTCAAATAAGTCACTTGACTATACCACACTTTTTAACCGCGTCTCTTGATTATGAAAAGTTATAAAAATGTTACCCTAAAAGTAACAAGTTGGTCATTTTCGGTTAAAATATAATAAAAAATTACGTGAGAGTTAATAAAACTAGCATAACAACGAATTTAGCATCAATTTTTTTTATTTTAATTTCGTATATTTATACAAAATTGACCCTCAATCTTTTAATATTCTACCAATTTAAGCCCTAAAATACCAAACTTCTTCTTTTTCTATTCTAAAGGGTTTTCTCCTTACTAAAACTATTATTCTTCAAGGTTAGTGGAGTTTGGGATTTATGGTAATCAATGAGATTTTGGGGTTGGGATACATATGGTAATTATTGGGGGTTAGGATTTGGGTTGAGGATTATGATTTAGGGTTTACAGTTGGGATTTAAGAGTAACTGTGGTCGTTTGATTGTTTTCGGAATAGTTACATTTACCAAGTAGATGTGGTTATCAGCATGGTTAGCCCTCATCAGAAAGCTAATGGGGTATGGCTTGGTTGTGAGTTGAGTAGTTTTCTAAAGGGGAAGAGTAATAATTATTTGGGTAAACTACACAGATCATCACAATACTTTGCTCTATTTCCTATTTCTCTCAATGTACTTTAAAACTAGTCAATTTCATCAGTTAAACTTAAAATAATTGACATATTTAGTCACTTGGTCGTTTCCTTCACTAACGGTCGTTTCCCCCACTGCCACCTTAAGCCCACCTACACAATGATATAGCGAAGGCGAAGGGACATTACCACATGGGTTTTGTTCGGAACTAGGCAAGGAACTTAGTGGTGAAGGTGATGAGATGCAACGACAATGGAATCAGCTGAAAATCGCAAAAATCAGTAGTGACATCATAATGTCGTTAGTGGGAGAAACGATCGATTGACCAAAATTTTCAATTATATTAAGTTCAGTGATGAAATTAACCAGTTTTAAAGTATAGTGAGTGAAATAGAAAATAGAACAAAGTACATTGATGATCCGTGTAATTTGGCCTAATTATTTATCTTATTTTTTTTTAACTATTTTTGTTTTTTATTTATTTTTAATGATTAAAAATATTTATTTAATCCACTTCATAACACCGTTAGAAACGTAATAGTGGAGTGACCCAAAAAGTCCAATGTCTTAAGTTTAGTGAGCAAATGGAAAAATTGAAAGTACAGTGAGTGAAATAGGAGATAGAGTAAAGTTCAGTGAGTAAATGTGTAATTTACCCTTCTTTAATTTTATAATTTGAGACTTTAGGTTAGAGAAAGTTGTAATTAAACCACTAATTAAATTAGGTACATAAGATAATTGTATGGTTGTATTATTATAATTTTCAAATAACGAGGCAATGTTCATTTTTCAATGAGTTAATAGTGTATCTTTCGCTTTATGTTTAGGAGGTGATCACTAGTAATTCCCGAAGTAAATCAACATCCTTTTCAAAAGCAATACCATGATTTCTCAAACTTTAAGGCAATGTTAATTTACTTTTATCAATGACAAAGCTTTCGCATTAACATGCTCGAAGGTGATCGTCATCGGTCTTAGTAAACTAACATCATTTTTCAAACTTTGCATCCATAGTAAATGTTAGAATAAATAAAGTTTCGAACTCAAAATTTTCAAACTTTAAATATAGGGTAATCGAATAGATACTAATTTTTGGATATTATAGGGGTGTTAACCCTTATCCACGTATATCTAACTCTCGAACTTATTTTCTAGAACCCCATTCAACTCGTCGAAACCCATCCTACCGATGCCCCACGATGAGAATTATGCACGAAGCAGCAATGTGGAAGCAAACTTGTCAAGACAACCAATGTTTTTGACTCTCAGGCTGTTCAACCAATACCCTCTTTGGATAGTCAGTACACCTCAATTAATCGCCCTAGAAATATATCGTACTAAGCACCATGACGACAGAACTGCAGCAATAGTCAACTGTTATCGGTTAATCGTTTTTTAATGGTTAGTATAATTCAATAACCGTTATAACAATTAACCAGACTGTTTATATTAAATGGTACGATCAACTAACCGCGAACACCTCTAATTTAAAAACATATTTATTGTATTAATACGTTATATAATAGAGATTTAATTAACCAGACTGTTTTTTATACTGTCCATGTTAGTAGGTAAAAATTATAGAATAGTACGTTATTCAATTATCGTCATTCTTAATAATAAGTTGGTTTTCTTGAACTTAGAGGTTTTTCTCAATATGAGTTTTGCATCAAATTTGAATTTTATTTATATGCAAAAAGTAAGAGTCTATGTTGATAAATAATTACGATTCAATATAAGAGCATGCAGGAAATGAATTTGATGATAAATGAATTGTTGTTATTCTTCGAGGTTTCAGGTTCGAGTATAAAAAATATCATAGGTGTGAGCATTCAATGTCAAACGGTTGAAACAACAACAACAAAACACTATTCTTATATGCAATGGGATAAGGGGAGGTAGAGTAATAGGTTGCCCCCAACGCCAGGTTGAGAGCAGCTTCCGTGGAAGACCTCTGGCGGTCAAAAAATTAAAAATAAAGATAAAATACAATGCGTGTATAAATAAATAAAACAATACATAATTAAGCAGTCTTCATATGCAGTTTTCATATACGTGTCTGTAGTGGTTAAAAGTTATCTTTAAACAAATTATATATTGTATTTACTCCAGATTAATAAAGAAATTATTATCAGTTGATCTATGAAATATCAGGTTTATTGAGTAAAGTAAAAGTTTGAAGTTTATGAATGAAATAAATTGGGTTGAAAAACTCACTCATAATAAATTTCTGTAAAACATGTTTCAAATTAATTAATTAATAAATCAAATATAGATAATTAAATAAAAAGTATAATATTAAATTGATAAATTAAGACATCAACTACAAATTTAGTTTAGTAATTTTAAATTCATTACTAATTTTTTTATATTAATTGATGAAGAAATTAAGGGAAAACTTTAATTAATAAGTAAAAAATCCTAGCTTTCCTTATTAAGTAAAAGAATACCAACTTCAGATCAGATCAGTTTCTTTTCACTGCTCGTTTTCGATATCTTCAGTTTATTCCTTTCTCTCTGTTATCTCTAGGTGACCCCTTTCTCTTCAGTTTCAATTGGGGTCGCCTAAAATCGCAAAAAAAGAAGAAAATTTTTGAAAATTTTGGAAGAAGGAAGAAAAACCCAAATTTCTCACTGAATTTCTAAATTATTAGTCAATTTTGATCCAATTTTTATTTTTTGGATTTATTTTTCAACCATGTCGGAAATGGCCAACACCGATCCGGAAGGAATCGACGCCGTGCGGATGACATGGAACGTTTGGCCGCGGACCAAAGTCGAAGCCAGCAAGTGTGTGATACCGTTGGCGGCTACCATCGCTCCGATCCGCCCGCATCCGGACATCCCCACGCTCCCTTACGCGCCTCTACGGTGCAGGACGTGTTCAGCTGCTCTCAACGCCTTCTCGCGCGTAGACTTCACCGCCAAGATCTGGATCTGCCCTTTCTGTTACCAGCGCAACCATTTCCCACCTCACTACGCCATGATCTCCGAGACGAACCTCCCGTGTGAACTCTACCCGCAGTACACCACCGTGCAGTATTCGCTCTATCCCGATCCGAACAACCCTGCCAGTGCTCCTCAATTGCAGCCGGTGTTTGTATTCGTCTTGGACACTTGCATGATCGAGGAAGAGCTTGGGCTTGTCAAATCAGCGATGAAGCAAGCGATTGGGTTGTTGCCGGAAAACGCACTTGTTTGGGTTCGTTTCGTTTGGGACTCAAGCACATGTCCATGAATTGGGGTTCTCGGATATGTCGAAGGTCTATGTTTTCAGGGGTAGTAAGGAGGTTTCCAAAGAGCAGGTGTTGGAGCAGTTGGGCCTCGGTGCTTCCGGGCGGCGGCCAGCTCCTGGGTATCCGAAAGGCCTACAAAATGGGTACACGGATACTGGTGTTAATAGGTTCTTATTGCCTGCTTCTGATTGCGAATTCACGCTGAATTCGGTGTGTGTTATTATCATTTTTTGTGGGAAATCATCTTTGAAGTTATTAAACTTTTTATGAATTGATTGGTGGGTTTTACTGTAGTTGTTGGATGAGTTACAAACGGATCAATGGCCTGTAAAAGCGGGACAGAGAGCTTTAAGGTGCACCGGGGTGGCCTTAAGTGTTGCAGCTGGATTGCTTGGAGCATGCATGCCAGCTACTGGTGCTCGGATTGTTGCCCTGGTTGGTGGTCCATGTACTGAAGGTCCTGGGACGGTAATGCCACTGAACACTTTGTTTAGCTGCTGAATTCTTACGAATAAGACGATTAAATGATACAAATCAAATTTTATATAGTTGAAAAGCATATATAATTCGTTTTATCATGGGTAGTAAGAAGTTTATTGACCAACACTCAAACCCAATTCAAATAGCATATATGGAGCTGGATATGGTTTGTTGTAACTTGTATAGATTATGGTCCATATATTTGCTGCCATCCTGAAAACTCTATTCAATGTTACACCACTGGTATATTGGCGGGTTTTATTTTTCTGTATGGTTACAGTTTCTTTTCTATAGTGGTTGCTATGTTGCTCGAACTCTTCATTTTTCATTAAGTATCAGTGTCCGTCACTTCTTGGTCAACACATTCTTGTTTGTCTTCGCTCATCAAGATGATAGCGGTTTTTATGATTTTTGCAGATTGTATCAAAAGATTTGTCGGAGCCTGTGCGTTCCCATAAAGATCTTGATAAGGATGATGCACCTTATTTTAAGAAAGCTGTCAAATTCTATGATAGTCTTGCTAAACAGTTGGTTAGCCAGGGTCATGT